TGAATCACGAATAAGAGACTTTCATATTGAATGAATAGAGAGTTTATGCAGAGGAAAACCTTCAGATATTAAAAAAATATAACCGTCGCTTACGTTCATTCGCGTTGAGTTCGAAGGGAAGCAATATCTTCTTTTCCTTCTGTCAAACTATTCTTGTCTTTGAAGGAATATTATCTCATTTCGAAAGACATCATCTTTTCATTCAGTAACTTCCTCCTTAGCCCGAAGAGCATCGATTTCTTGCCTGAAACCTACCATAAATTGATCAAATATGCGAAGTTTTTCACCCAGGCGAGAGAAATTGCGAGAAATGAACTGAGAGAAATTTCAATGCTAATTTTAACTACAAAGGAATTGTCAAAAAAATAATAGTTACGGTAACAATAAACATTGTAGATTTAACTTCTTCTTCTTCTGTTCAATTTGGTTATATCCTCTTACTATAGTAGAGGCAAGCACCATTGTAGATTTAACTATTACATTAAAGTGAAAATTACATCATAATGTTGATGACACTATTTGACATAGAAAATCGAACGATGAATCCTAGTTTAATCTACAAAGTTTATTGTTACTGTAAATATAACTTCTTTGAAAATTCCCTTGTAGTTAAAATTACCATTGAAATTTTTCTCAGTGTACCACCGCAGTGCGTTAGCCCCGTAGAGCACAGACTGTTTGTTCAATAGACAATGATAGCTGTCAGCAGTCCTCATTTTTGGACAATTTTATGGGCCACAGAAAAGTTTTCTCGATAATTCTTTCTTAAAATCACTCATGACTGTGACAATTCGCCAATCAACAAAATGAGCCTTAAATGAATCATCAAACATACATTCTATTTTTGAATTCCAGAGTTTTTATCGTGATTATCCCCCTTCTATCAACTCCAAGTGAGATTAGGAATTAATTCAGCGATTAATTGATGAAAAGATTTCGAGTAAAATTTCAATTTTTTTGGTCATTTAATTTTACTTGTTTTGTAGTTAAAATAAACTATGCAAATGGATTATGAATTGATGACTAGTACCTTTTACACTTCTTTCACCAATGAATCATTCCGAGAATAAGCGATTTCGAGTCGAAATACGAAGAAGTCTTCATCGCAGTCCATAAAATTTTTTACAAAATTGTCTGTTGAGTAATTTCTCTCAGTCCTTCAATGTCTGACACATCCATCTGACCAACAAGAACGAATCACTATCAGAAAAACCTCTGTTTCAGACGATTCTGTGGAAACAGGAAAGTGTTTGCGATGATTCCTGTCAACACGTCAAGATGTCTTTTTTACGGCCCATAAAATTTCCTACAAAAAGATCTTTCTTGCCAAGTTCATCCCAAACTCCTCATGTCTAAAACCTTCATCTGATCGAGAAACTGAATTTTTTTCACCAAACGCTGATAACGACAGCTGGTCATGACAGTGACCGTTTGATAATCAACGAAATGAGTAATAAATAAAATCATCAATCGTAAATTCCACAATTTCATGCTCTTGATTTCTCCTTCTAACGGCTAGAGATTCCATTCCACCGGAAAAAGTAAATAAACTATCAGAGTCAGAAGAAACGTTGCCAAAACCCCTGAAATTCCGATTCAGTCTCAATTCTTCCTACGATTATCTAATAAATATCCATAAATCATTGCTACAAATGCAACAACCAATCACAATGATGGTGAAACTAGCAGAATATTCGTCAGCGGAAAATTCAATTTAGGGGATATTTAAGTGTAGGAGAGTCAAATAATGACATGTACAAATGTTTTTCAAGTGCGAAAGAGTTTGTATATTACTTAGAAACATTTATACACCCCTAGATTCGTATAATACAAATCTTCTGCTGTCGAATCTTTCGCTAGTTTCAGCTTCAGCCAATCACACTCCCCCTGGATAAATATTATCGAAGATATTCTGGATCACTTGAAAACCACTCCAAAAGTATAAATATATTGAGTTTGGTCAACGCCAAATGCAACAAGAATGTCGACCACATCCATTTGATCAACAAGAACAAATAACGATCAAGAAATCCTCTGTTTCGGACAATTCTGTTGATAACAGAAATATTTTTTCGATGATTCCATCCAACACATCAAAATGTCTTCTTTCTTGCCAAGTTTATCCCAAACTCATCATGCCTAAAACCTTCATTCGATCGAGGAACAGAATTTTTTTCACCAGACGATGACAACTTTCATTACAATGACAACTTTCATCAATCCTGAATTCCATAATTTCTCTAACAGCTAGAGAGTCCACTCCCTCCAAAATTATTAAATAAACCATGAGTCAGAAGAAACATTGCCAAAACCCCAGAAACTCCGATTAAATCTCAATTCTTCCCACCATTATCTAATGAATATCCATAAATCATAGCTACAAATGCAACAACCAATCACACTCCCCCTGGATAAATATTATCGAAGATATTCTGGATCACTTGAAAACCACTCCAAAAGTATAAATATATTGAGTTTGGTCAACGCCAAATGCAACAAGAATGTCGACCACATCCATTTGATCAACAAGAACAAATAACGATCAAGAAATCCCCTGTTTCAGACAATTCTGTTGGGAACAGAAATATTTTTTTGATGATTCCATCCAACTCATCAAAATGTCTTCTTTCTTGCCAAGTTTATCCCAGACTCTTCATGCCTAAAACCTTCATTCGAGGAACAGAATTTTTTTTCAGCAGACGATGACAACTTTCATTACAATGACAACTTTCATCAATCCTGAATTCCATAATTTCTCTAACAGCTAGAGATTCCACTCCCTCCAAAATTATTAAATAAACCATGAGTCAGAAGAAACATTGCCAAAACCCCTGAAATTCCGATTAAATCTCAATTCTTCCCACCATTATCTAATGAATATCCATAAATCATAGCTACAAATGCAACAACCAATCACACTCCCCCTGGATAAATATTATCGAAGATATTCCGGATCACTTGAAAACCACTCCAAAAGTATAAATATATTGAGTTTGGTCAACGCCAAATGCAACAAGAATGTCGACCACATCCATTTGATCAACAAGAACAAATAACGATCAAGAAATCCCCTGTTTCAGACAATTCTGTTGACAACAGAAATATTTTTTTGATGATTCCATCCAACACATCAAAATATCTTCTTTCTTGCCAAGTTTATCCCAGACTCTTCATGCCTAAAACCTTCATTCGAGGAACAGAATTTTTTTTCAGCAGACGATGACAACTTTCATTACAATGACAACTTTCATCAATCCTGAATTCCATAATTTCTCTAACAGCTAGAGATTCCACTCCCTCCAAAATTATTAAATAAACCATGAGTCAGAAGAAACATTGCCAAAACCCCTGAAATTCCGATTAAATCTCAATTCTTCCCACCATTATCTAATGAATATCCATAAATCATAGCTACAAATGCAACAACCAATCACACTCCCCCTGGATAAATATTATCGAAGATATTCCGGATCACTTGAAAACCACTCCAAAAGTATAAATATATTGAGTTTGGTCAACGCCAAATGCAACAAGAATGTCGACCACATCCATTTGATCAACAAGAACAAATAACGATCAAGAAATCCCCTGTTTCAGACAATTCTGTTGACAACAGAAATATTTTTTCGATGATTCCATCCAACACATCAAAATGTCTTCTTTCTTGCCAAGTTTATCCCAGACTCTTCATGCCTAAAACCTTCATTCGAGGAACTGAATTTTTTTTCAGCAGACGATGACAACTTTCATTACAATGACAACTTTCATCAATCCTGAATTCCATAATTTCTATAACAGCTAGAGATTCCACTCCCTCCAAAATTATTAAATAAACCATGAGTCAGAAGAAACATTGCCAAAACCCCTGAAATTCCGATTAAATCTCAATTCTTCCCACCATTACCTAATGAATATCCATAAATCATAGCTACAAATGCAACAACCAATCACACTCCCCCTGGATAAATATTATCGAAGATATTCCGGATCACTTGAAAACCACTCCAAAAGTATAAATATATTGAGTTTGGTCAACGCCAAATGCAACAAGCATCTTGAGTCAAGAGAGGAGCATCGTTTGTAAATAGCTATGGAAGATTTAAAATGAAATCTAAAATTAGTAGCAGTTGTGAATGCATGGGTAAAGGCACGTACGGCAATAGCTGTTGCTCGCTAACACAGAGGTGGGATTAGTGCCACTTGTCATCTATCACAATACCTCCCCCCAACTAATAAAAAATTCATTCATTTACATGATCATCAGTGCCATTTACCCATTAAATTACCCAAAGCCCCCCAAAATCCCCAATAACGGGCGAATTGTCAAAATAATCAGCATAAATCGCCTCTAAATCGCAGGTGTTAACATGGCATAACTCCAAATCACATGACTGCCTTCATATATGAGCCAGAGAATTTTATTTTTCTCTTCCTGGGAGAAATGAGGGGCCGACTTGATCCAAAAATTGACGGCGTCAGCCGATAAACAATCAATCATTGATCATCAATTTAAAAATAAAGTAAAACATTCAATGTTGTAACATCATAATGACTTCTCAGAACAAAAAAATAACTGAATAGTCAATAAACTCATAGATCGATGATAACAATCACCGATAAAGCGGGTGAATTAGCGCCTGAGGGCTTTTCTCAAATACTTTGGTAATTACAAATGTTGAAAAATAGTCATAAGGTCGCGGGATGTTACGCGTATAACTCTGACATTGCCATTAATGCGGATGGAATATCGTGGTTTTGGATTAACGAGATAAAATTGAAAGGGCGGAGCCTGGGGGGTATAGGGACACACACTGAAAATGCCTGAAGAGCTCAAAAGAGCTTTAGCGACCTCGCACGACATATCGTCGAGTAACCAACAAAAGCACCAACGAATTGACACATATTACCTTACAATGTAAATCATGTAATCCTCAGTGTCTCATTAATGAATGCAGGCTGACAAATAAATTAAAATAGTAGAGTTGATGGATAATAATTACCGCAGGGGTTGAATATCTTCACGAGACTGAAATGTCAGCGAATTCTCTCCCCAGGACTTGATAAATTATCCGATTTTCTTTGGCACTACTACGCATGCAACAAAAGCCCCGGGCGTTGAGCCACTCGTGTTGGAGTGGTGAATAGACAAGTAAAAAATAATAATTCACTGCCCCTTCTGTTATGCTAATAAACGTTTAAAGGGAATGGAGCACTTGTTTTCATCACCGAACGAATGACTGAACTGGTGTGACGAAATTCCAGGGGCTCTCGGGTGACACCTGAAATCGAGATTATCACTGTGATTACCACCGCCTTAACGACGGCGAGGATGAATGATTAAAGTGGCAGACATCACCGAGAACACAAACTGAACTAGACAGACACTATCGATATGTAACTGTACGTATTTATCGCTTCACCCACGATGTACACAATTACTCTGGACGACTGTTTGTTAATACTTGAGGGCGTTTTTTTTTTTATCAATATCCTGTGATTGTACGGTATTGTCGTCAGTTTAATGATCTCTGGGCTTCAGTGAGGGAACTTGTTTCCCGGTTGAAACGAGCCAATGGGAAACAAAATAATTCGATGAGTACTGTGAGTACGGGGTGATGTGCGAACTGCTAACTCCACACAATTATCATTTTTTTCTTTCTTTCTTTCACCTTGATATTTCCGATGGTAACACTGATATTGTCACCCCTGGGAGGTTGCCTAGACGGGCATTTAATCTCACGAACCACTTCAATCCAACTCAATTTGTTGAGGGAATGGGTTGACTTGGATTGTTGGTTGTTTCAACTGACTAATACGAATTACACTTGAACGCTTGTACTGGGTTTATGCTTGGTTACTTACGCCCCCGTATTGCGCGTTCAACCACGTTCAAACGGAGGTTGTCATGTAGGTATTTGTGAGATACAATGAGTGCGGTTTTTTTTTTTCACTTTTTACGACACTGGGGCACGATCAGATTTCCTCCATCTTCGGAGATTGCTCGATAGAGGGAGGCACTTACATGATTGGTGTGGCGACTCCGCCTCCGGTAGTCCCCACTTCGACCTCGAGGCAGCGCCTCGATCAACCTCAAGCCACGACAGCTGCTCAACGTCGCCCACGGAAACAAAAGCCATTACTACAAGACCTCTATTCTAACGCTACACGTGTAGCACTCGACATCAAGTCATTCCAAAGTCTATTTGTGTTACTAGTATTACATTATCATAATAAATATTACTCCTATTGCTAACGGTGGTGATTCAATTACACTGGGGAACCTTCCAATAAGTCTAAATTGGCGACGATTAGGGGTCGGCGGGGAAGGGAGGCAAGGGGGTCGACGGGTTTTTGGGGGTTTCGGGGGTGGAATTTTTGCTGGGGCGCGGCGAAGGGGGAGGGGACGGGGAATTTTTGATGGAGATGATTTGATGATCTGCGGGCGTCAGGAGAATTTGGGGGTCGATAAGGCAGGGATTGGGGAGGGTTATCCGGCGCTCGGCTCTGGAGGTTTTCCTATTTTACTAAAGATGAAAGAAACGTGAAGTTGTTTTATATCGAAATATCTCGAAACTGCCTGACCGCTAATCCTTAATTCTGATTGGTCAATATGTGACACGAAGTTATTCACAAAAAAAACACGCGGCATTTTCAAATTCTTCAGTGACATAATTTCAAATTCTTCAGTGGTAAATTTTTTTTTCACGTCATATAATACTGCCCGGGCGCGTTTAACGAGACTTCGGCAACGTCGCACAACGGGCAATTTCATTTAACATGGGAAAAATTTGGCCGTCTGTTAGAAATAATTTTTTTTCTTCAGGAATTGTGGATATAAATAATTCAAAAAAATAGTATAATTTTCTAGACACTTGAATTGCCGCATTCCAATTTTTTAGGATTTTTCTCCTCAGCCAGTCAATGGTAAGAAAAAAAATCGACCTTCTGCGGCGTTTCCCTCCTATGGTGACCAACTAGGGTTAAATATTCCGAATATTGAATTTTCTGTACTGCTTCTCACGATTTCTCGTCTGGGAATTGGTATTACATACTTCCCAAATTCGAAAACTTGAAAATCACTACAGAAAAATATTGTTCCTGGGCTGTTGCGATGGGGTTTTTTTACTCGTGTGGTTGGCCAGTCCGAACCGTAGGCTCGGACGCCTACGCCACACGAGTAAAAAACCCCATCGCCACAGGCCGGAAATAGTTATTTTCATCACAAGGTCCACAAAGTATTTTCTGACGAACGTGGCTTTGTAGGCCGAGCCGAAGGCAAGGTCTATAATCACATTCGTCAGAAAATACTTTTGGACCGTGTGATGAATGCAATTTTTTTTCTTAGCGAAGGAGTGAAGGGGCAGAGGTCGCGGAATTTTCAACGGGAAGACAATAGGGTGGACTGTTTGAAGATTCTGCGCGTTGGGAGGGAATTTATGGGTCGATAATGCAGGAATTCTTGAGCGTTATCGGCCGCAGGGGGCGCTGGGCTCTGGAGGTATATTTGAAAGGTTTCAGCGAGGATTGATTGAGGCTGAAAAAGTCGATTTATTTAGTTATTGAGGATGAGAATTCAAGATGATTTCTCATAATGAGGCGTATTACGAGAGCCGGAGGCCGATCGAGGATCTGGGGACTCTGGGGAATTTCAAGAGGTTCATCTGGAATCCGGAGAAACGAGCGTTTCTTGATCGCACGGCGAAGGAATGGGGTAAAGATAGATCATTAGACGAAAGATGTAATGGGGCAAATGGACACTTTTGACTTCGTTTCTTGGTGTTTATAACTCGGAAATAAATTCATCGGTTGAGCTCAATTAGGACTCATCACTGAGGGAACAGTTGTCCTTTTTATGAAAAAAAAATGAAATTTCATGGAAAATTAAATGAGCTATTGATATTTTTTTAATGTCAGAAGTGTCCATTTTGCCGCACTAGCCCGAATTTTTGGATTAAGGGAATTTAAGTTTTGAGATTGCTGAATAATAAAAAAATTATAATATAGTAAGTATAATAATAACAAATAATATAATAAATAAATATATAATAAATAAGTATAATAATAAACTTACTCAAGTATAATAATTAAAAAAATTTATTATTATTATACTTCAGAGTTTTTTAAAATATAAAGTGAGGAAATTTTTTTGAAATAACGTGCGGGGATTGAAAGCTTGTTCATTGCACATCTACTCAAAGATCAAGCGATTTTCGGAGATAATGATAGGGGTCTGTTTTGAACAGGACAACTTTTTCCACTGAATAATTTATCTTTTTTTTTTTCAATTTTTTCGTTCACTTCTTTGATGTTACAAACTTTTTCTTTATTTTACATCGGTTTTCGACTAGACAAATCTTTTGACTTTATGCATGAAAAAAATCAATAGCAAAACCGAAAAATCCTTAACGTTTTTTGAGGGTTTTCATTAAAAATTTAGCAGTTCTTTCGCGTTATTTTTGGACAGATATTTGATGGAAGAAAGTCAATAGATATTAATTTGTCTATATGACTCGTTCTCTCCAGATTTTTCTACTGATGAATTTTCAAAATTTCCTTAGCTGTATTTTATTTTGTTTCTCATTGCAAAATTCAGGAAAAAACCTGAAAAAAATGAGGCCCCAGAATTTCTATTTTAAAAAAGGAAACAAAAAATTGTACAAGTAGAAAATTCAACATCTGATTTTTTTCTATTAAATGTCTGTTGAAAAATTGCAGAGAAAGATTAGTTAATTTTGAAATAGAAATCGACGAAAGATAAATAAAGTTTTTAACAAAGTTCTGCTAGACGTTCAATATAATTCCTCTAAAAATTCTCTAGCCTTATAAGTATTCCATTGAGTTTTTTCATATACCTTCTTTCAATGAAATTTCAAAAACCTACTTAATAAACGCTCTATGCGTGAGGGGTCAATATCAAATCGTTATCATTTCTGAATTCATGTCTGGAAGAAATAGAAAAAAACGATTTTTCAAACAAAATTTCATAAATTTCCCATTGAGTAAGTCACTTATAATTAACAAAGATTCCATTGGTTGTTGGGCCCTTTAAAGTCTTCGTCAACTATGACTTCATCGTTGGAAGGAATAATTCCAAACGCTCATTTTACCAAAATTCTGGAAATTTCCCATTAAAAAATCATTGATACTTGGCAAAGATTCTGTGTGGTGGACTAATACAAAATCTTTATCAATTATTAACTCATCTTCGTACTGAACAATTTCAAATGATCTTTTATCTAAATCTTTCCACCAAATGATCTTATTTTCCTAATTGATAATGATTCTATTGGTTGTTGGTCCCTATAAAGTCTTCATCTTTCAACTAAAATTTCGGAAACGTTCGATCAAAAAATAATTCCGAATTGACAGATTCTAGTGGTGTGGACATAAAATATTTGTCAATTAAGAATTCGTCTCCGGAAGAAATAATTCTCTACGATTATTTGACCGAAATTCCGGAAATTTTCCGTTAAAAAATCATTGATAGGTGACAAGCACTCTATTTCCGGATGCATTTTTCAATAAATAATTTTAAAAGATCTTCTTCCCAAAATTCAGAAAATTTTCCGTCAAAAACATTTCATCATAATTTCTTGTGAAAGCGTTCATACCGGGCATGATGCCAAATAAACCCGATGCGATACGTTGACTTTAATCGTTTCACCCCTCCCGCGCCCAATTAGCAACAGTAGCATTGTTCTACTTGTGTTTCTTCGGAGCTCTATTCTCAATCTTTGCTCTTCAACTCTGGATCACACTCGATTTCGTGGCTGACCTGGAGCGGCCGTATTTGAAGCACAGTAGTCAAGTCCCTGAGGAATTTTTCGCTGGGAGGCGATCGCTGTTTCACGCGCCGCTGATCAAATTTGAAAATCCGGGTAAAGTTGTTGGTGAATGAAAAATAGCCTTGAGTTCAATAGTGAAGTAGTTGATGAAAAGAAATAAGTACAAGAACAATTTACAGATCATTTCGCAAATATTTTCGGAAGTGCGGAGGAGTTCAGCAAAAAATGTTGCCCAAAATTTTTATTTGAATCCGTAATGTTGAAGATTTTTCCAAAAAGTTTTGTCAAGTGATTTCCACTGACAATTTCAAAGGATTTCATCATTGAAACTTCTCAATTTGTAGAAAAGATCAATGAAAACTGCAAATTTTAGTTCAGTTGTTCCATGAAAGTTGACAGAAAGTAGTGAAATTCAAATAAATATCTTCTTGAATTTCGATTAAGGTGTTTCGTGTGAAAACTCAAAATAATGAAAAAAAATTGAAAAATTTATGGGAGAAATATCTGAGTATCCTGCATCATTGAGAATTTTTTTGGATTTTTTCTAGGTCTCGGGCTCAAGAAAAAAAATATTGAAATTTCTATGTTTTTCAGCTATAAGACCGAGGTTACCTCACTCTCAATCAGGGAAATTTTCATATCTCCCAAAAGAATAATGAGCTATTAAAAAAAAATTAGAGGGTGATCAATCAAATCTTGCCCGAAACTACGTATAAGTTCCAGAATTTTTCTCGATTTCATAAGAAAGTTATATGAAAAAATGATACGGGAAATTATGAGTTTCGGGGGAAATCCATTGAGGCTCACGTGTGGCAACCCCGCCTTCACCGTGAGTGGCGCGCAATTCGAATGTCAATATAATCGCTGGAGGATCATGGGAGAGGTATAGGTTAGACCATGAAACTGAGATAGAGAGAAAACACTCCGCAGGTTTACCAACTCGAAATAAACATAGGAATGATCCGTGCGGCATTACCATGTCTCTCATGTATTTCAATATTGTTTCAATAATTAGAAAAACATCCGATAAAAATAATTTGACAGTCGTGAGTGATGGGAAAAAATCAATTAATCTGACCAAAAAATTAATAATCAAGAAATGTTCAGATGCTCACTGAAATATTTACTTGAAAATTGAAAATTTTCGTGTTCAGCGATTGAATCAGGGCTCATGAACAATGAGAAATACAGACGAAACACCTTAATTCAAAATTCTGCGGAATTTGGTGCTGAATTTTCCGTGAAATTGCAATTTTTTTCGGACAATGCATTCAATACTCGGAGATATTTGCAAAAAAATCAATATGATAATAATTTCTATAATGAGCACATTGACTAATCCCCTTATATATTTAAAAAATCAATAGGTCTGGGTTTTGTGCCCAACATAATTCAAACGGCCACCTCCTCCCCGATAATTTGGATCAGCGATGCGAACAAAAATGGAAATCCAGATCGATACGTCACAGCGATCAGAAAATTTCTCGCCGGTAAATGATGACATTTTTCATGATAAATCGTTTGTTTGCAATTCATTCCTTCAACAGCAGACGAATTTTTCATGTAGATTACAAGCGAGATAGATCAAATTATGACGTTAATTGCTCCGACAAAGGATCACGCTCTGTCCCAAGGACGAAGCCATGTTTTTTTGATGTCACGACGCTCGGGGATTGTTCAATGCCACCTTTCGGATATAAATTTCCCTACCAGCCTTGCGTTTTTATCAAATTTAATAAGGTAATACAGACTGAAGGGTGCCAAGTGAATTTGGCGATGACCTTGAAAATTGACATTCACCAACAAAGTTATAATTTTTTTAATTAATAGTATTAGACAGTGAACATCGGTGACAATTTTAAAATTTTAGAACTTATGGATATCGAGAAATTAAATAAACAAAATCAGTCTTATACACGGCCTCTTATGGAGTTTTGATTAAATTGAACGTTTCAACCCCCTAGGAACTCAAGAAAAATTTGAAAAAATTTGAAGATATGGGGAATGATGTGTTCAATGTGATGGCGACAAAAAACAATGGGGTACCGGGGTGAATAAGAGAGATATTTCAACCCGCCGTACCCATTTGATCCCATGCTTTCTCGAGGTTCGTCACGCTAAATAGAGGATTTTCCGCATTTATTTTCTCGATGTCTAGTTCCGGTTGCGGGTTTGAAATTTCGTCGGATGGATGAATACATATTTCTCCAATGATGAAGGGAAAGAAAAAAATTTTTTTGAATCTTTTTTCAAATTCACTTGGTACCCTTAAACACTGTTAAAAATTTTTGTCTGAATTTTCTGTGCCAAATTACGGAAATTTTTATCGTGTTCCAATCCACTGAAATTTCAAGAAATCTTGTCATTGAAAATTCAGAATCTCGTGGAAACATCAAGCAGAACTGTAAATCTATTTTCTATTTTTCCCTTAAAAAGAATAGAAAAAGAGAAAATTCTGGTAAATATATTCTTGAATTTTGAGGACAGCGACACTGAATGCGATTTAGGGGCGGGAAATCATGAAATTTCAGATTTCGCTAAAAATTCAATGCAATTTGACGCTGAATATTCATATGAGATTGGAAATTCAAATAAATTGAGGAATTCTCGTCTTTATGCAGCTTAAAATTCTGGAATTTTGGTAAATTTTCAGTAAAACCTTAAATTTCATGATTTTTTCCCCTAAATCACATTCGGTGTCACTTTCCTGAAAATTGGTAGAAATTGACAGTCAACTGTCCATGAAATTTCATTTTTTTTCTAACCGTGTACTGAATTTTTTTCAACGTAAGAGTTATAAATAAATAATAAAACTTGTTTGCAGAACGGTGAATTATTTTTTATGAGGTGTCAAAAAAATTCTTGAATTTTTCACATCTAATGAAAAAAAATTCAGATTTTAATCTTTGATTGCAATGGAAATGTTGATTTTCACATAAGACACTGGGTTAAATCCTGACTTTTAAACATTTCTTCTTTGAAAAACAAAAACGATAATTAAATTGAGAAAAAAATTAGAATTCCGAATCTAATCGAGTTTTCTGCAATTTTTTTGCAGTTTTCAATAATCTTTGAATTTACGGTAAGGGTCGAGCTACTTTAACCCTAGATTGGTCACTATATGAGGGAAACGCCGCAGCCCGTCGTTTTCTTGAATTGCCATTGAATGGCTGATTGGAAAAATTCAAAAAAATTTGACTTTTCCAATTAAAGTATCTAAAAAATTAGAGTAGTTTCAGAACAACATAATTCTCGAAATTCCTGGAGAAAACAATTTTTTCCTCACAGAGGAATTATTTTTTCCCATGTTGAATGAAAGTGCCTGTTACGCGACGTTGCCGGAAACTCGCTAAACGCGCCCGGGCAGTGTAGAGTGAATTTGGCAACGTTCGGGCCCAAATAACACGGCGGCACTTCCCCACGGACGTGACCAAAGTCGTTGGGTCGCGTAGGGTGACCAAACTAGGGTTAATATGCCACGGATACTCGTCACAGAGTCGAGGGGCTGATCACTCTTCAATCAGGTGGCTCAGTGATTTCCAGAATGGGATGATTTCCTGTGATTTCTTGAATGATTTCTATGATTCCTCAATAAGAATTGGAGATTTCTTTTGATTTTTCGTGATTTCCATGAGTTCTATGACGGAAAAATGTCGAAAGACCTTTTGTGTAGACTATACGCGATTTTCCACGTAAAAAGGCCTTCCGATGTGTCATAACTCGACCCATTATCGACACAATGAAGCAATTGAACAGGCTTATACATGGAATGTTGAATCATTCATGCTGTGATTTAATCTCAATAACTCCCGCTTTTGGTGAATAGAGATTCGACTGGATTCCGAATTATTACAACAGTACTTCAGAGCTACCGGAAGTGATGCCAGGAGATCTGAAACAAATGATTAAACTGTCAGGGCAGGTAATTTTTACATCTACATTGAGAGAAAAATTACTTCCGCCGAAAAATTATAACATATGTTCACGTGAGAATATTTGATAGAGGAAGAGATTCATTTCAGTACAATTAAGCAATTTGACGAAAGGGCATTTAAGATCTTTTTCAAAAATTTAATTTTCCGTACTGATCTTCACTTTTCCTCGTCCAGGGTTTTGGCTCTTTCTCAAACTTGTAAAAGTGAAAATCACTACGGAAAAATATCGTTCACGACTAGTGCCGTGGGGTTTTTTTACTCGCGTGGTTGGCCAGTCCTCGCCTTTAGCTCGGGCGCCAACTCCGCGCGAGTAAAAAATCCCATGGCACTCGTCCTGAAATATACTATTTTATCGCTCGTGCGTAGGGTGTGCCTGTACCGCTCAGCGGATAATACCGCTCACCCGATTTTCTCCGCAACCATCAACTTGAACATTTCTTTCTGTTCCTGATCATGAAGAATTTGATGATAGGATGTGATTGTCGGAAAATTTTCACTTTATTTACCACTTTAAATATGAAAAAACACGTAACGAAGTTTTGAGTTCTTTACAGTGCAAAATTTGTGGACTTTTAATTAAGGTTTTTGATAGTTTCAAACGTTGAATTCTCATATTAAACTGTGGTTATTCGATTCGTGGTACTTCCACGCGTAATTTGAGACCAATTCGAACGCAAAACTCCACTCATGTCAATAATTATCAACAATTTTGTTGAAAGCTGACGCCGGTTGGATCGTAGGGATCTGCAAATTGAGAATCAGATATAACAATATTTCGGGGACTTATGGTAGCCGAAGGCAATTTTCATACCCTAGCGGGGCCTCCACTACTATTCCAGTCGAATGGGAGCACTCACCAAGTGTTTTTTGGCGGCTAAAATGACACAAACTACGAACGATGAAAATGAAAAAATATGGAAAACAGAAAAATCATGAAAACATGAAATAATAATAATAAGTAAATTGACTCAACATGACAAAAGATGTTCGTGTGACTTATAATTTTTCGGCAGAACTAATTTTTTCTCTCAATGTGTCGAATTTCGGCTGACAATGCAACTGTAGAAAATAGGAGATAAGATAAAATATAATCGACCGTTTGTAAATGTTTAGGGGAGAGTTTGGTTGTCGTGCAATGGTGTAAAAAACGCTGATAAAGAGCACATGGGAATGATAAGCTACTTCCCATCACCCGGATTCCCATTTTACTATTTCCCATTCACCGGACATTCGCAGTATCTCTCGCCAGTGGTAGCAATTATGTTTCATAATTTGACAGGTAATTTATCAATCCCAGAAATAATGACTCCTCAATAGATTTATTTTTCCAGGTTCCCAGATTTTTTTCTCTGAGAAATCCCCCGAAAAAAATCGAGGGAAAATTTTTCCCCTGGAAATTTTTTCCAAGAAAAGTTTCCATGTCCCCAAGAAAAAAAAGTAAAATTTCTCTGTAAAATATTAGATCAGACGCATATTTGAACACAGCATCCATTCATCTTTGTTGAATGTAACACACCTGATCTGATTAATTCTAGTCTAGTCACCGAAGACCATCATTTGTTCATGTACAATGTGCTGTATTTTTTCATTTTTATTCTTTTTTTCTATGACTTTCAGTGAATCGATTGGTTAATGTTGAATGCCACACTTGGGCGAAGAACATTGGAGACAGTCACGCTCTAGATTTCCAGATCGTCACGTTTTCTTGAAGGACCACACGTGTGCTCCGAAAAAATGATGGAAAAACGGGAGAGAGTGAAACCACATGTGCTGCCGGCGAGAATGGAAGATATCCTCTTGAAGATCTACACATTCGAGATTATAAAGAATCGTTATGGATCAATTCTTTCATGAATTTCACTCTGAATAAAAATTTAATGAAAAACAAGTGAAGAATTGCTTTTGTCTTTATTTACACGGATGAAAAAATTTAATAGAAAAACTTATCGAATTCGTTAGAAAATTCTACCGAATTTCTATTGAACTGTTCTATTAGTTTTTGGCCGATTCTATTGAAATGTTCAATGAAAAATATTCACTAGAAAAAGTCAATAGAATTCAATTTTTCTATATAACTTATTCTATTGAGATATTTTCTATAGAATTTTCTCGGCTCAAATTTTCCAAGTTTTTTTGTTTGATTTTCTTGATGAAAAGAAAAGAAAAATAGAATGAAAAAAACTTAGAAAATTTGAGTCGAGCAAATTCTATAGAATATATATGAAAAGAATAAGTTATATAGAAAAGTCGAATTCTGTTATGCCGCTAAAAAAATTATAATCATGGGAAATTACCGAGTAAATGAACTATTTTTCACGGAAATTTTTCGTTTTTCGTTCGCATAGATAGTGCAATTCAGTAGCGAAGGGGTACAGTGGGACCTCCACAACTGCACGCCTCCCGGGGTTTGGGCTCTCGGAATTTGCACTGCTTCTTCTGTTCGTTTTGGTTATATCCTCTTACTAGAGCAGAGGCAAGCACCATTTCTCCTCCGAAAAGGACTTTGCACTTATGAAAGGAGCCTTCTTCGCCAGCGAAAGAGCGAGAGCGCTGAGTTAGAAAGAAATGCGTGTAGAGGCAATGGTGGGGGAAAGAGCCACTACTGTCGGTGTCAAAAGTAGAGACCACTCGAAATAAACGTCTATAACTCAGTGAAAAAAAATCGTAAAAATATGAGACCAAATACACTGTGTAATATAAGTATTTCGCTTGCCCAATACGGAGTTTCAAGTTTTTAATTTGATTAGTTTATTTATAATCGCTGTGAGAAGCCGAAAAACCCCCCGATTTTCAGGGTCCGTAAAAGTCGGCAAACTTTGAACCGCTAGCAAACGTACGAAATTTTTTTTTTTTAAATCGTCAATTTTTTCAGTGATTTGTATAACCCCTGAGAAGCCAACCAGGGAAGAAAAAGATCGAAATTGCGATAATTATTCATTTCATTTATAGAAATGTCGACTGCGGCTATTTCGTTGTAGGGATTTTTTTTACTCCCACAACATGGGAATTTGTCTGGATTTGGAGTCGCCGCCCAAGCATTGGGCAGTGGATTAAGAAAAAAACATGATATTGTTCTGAATTCGAATTTTTCGAAACATTGAACAGATGGCACTAAATACACTTTTTGGAGAAGTCATGGCACTTGCCCTGAATTGAATAACCGCACACGGCGAAGTACCGGGTAAACAGAATACTATTGCGCACAGTCCTCGCGCATTTTAGATGGAGAGCGGAAGAGGTTAGAGAGAGAACGGGCATAAAGGGGAATTGTAATGGTGGGGGAACACTTCCCCTCGAGGGGTGGGACAGCGTGTACTTATGTAGGTGAGCAGTTACGGAGGTCTTACTGTAGAAGGGTATAAGTCAATTTTGACTATTGACCAGGTGTCAATCACTATCTCGAAATGTAAGGGAGATGGCAAAATTTTTGTTATAACCTTTTTTGTGGAGCCGATTGAGTGCTACAATAAATGTAATTACGAAAATTTCGCTGTCTCCCTTAGATTTGGAAATATTCCTCAAAAACTCAACTGGGAGATAAGTCGACTTAAATTCTTTTACCACTTAGCTACTGAATTATTCTTATGCAAAAAAACCTATTATTCTTATGGGAAATGTGTTATTTCCGCGTTATTCTTGCGGGGAAAAATGAGGGCCTTGGGCTTTTTAGGATTGAGATAGAGAGCTGAAATTTTAAGGAGGATTTTTTTTTGTTTCAAACCCTTTGAGGGGGCGGCACGTAAAAAATTCCGGAACGAGTGCTCTAATACACACATACATACGGAGAGGGTCTAACATTTACATTTTCAGATTTTTTGAATTATAATGAGTGGACATAGCACAAAAAAATCAAAACTTGAATTTGAACGATCACAAAGCTTCCATTAGAAACCAAAAAACATACTTTCGAAGTCCTTTTCATTTCCTGCTCTCAACTGACGGTGACTTACCTCGTTTCAACACTTTTGTAGTTCTGCTCCAGAAATAAAAATAAAGAGCTGATAAATATCGGGTTGCCTCATTTTTCCGTGGAATGAGCTTCCCAGCGAATCATGTTTTTTTTCAGTTTGTGACAAATTGTTTCCGACGTGGAAAACATGTTATTATCACTCGTTAACAAAGATATAATTTTTCAGTTCTTTTGCAATCTGTATAGGAAGAAAAACAGTTTTCATATTTTTGGCTCGGATAACTATAAAACGTTTATATCTAAAAATTTATTTGTTATTTTTTTCCGGCGGGAATTATTTTTAGTTTTTGTATGCCTGACGTGAAGGGCTTATATCATTAATTTTGGAACTTCTTTTGTTCATTGCGTATTTATACGAAGAAATATTCACCCGAAAATTTGAGTGCTAATATATTTTTGGAGGAACATCACCCTGGGACCCTCAGTATTCCTCTCGTTTACATCTGAAAAATTACAGGGAAGAATACAATAGTAAACGGGAATTCTTTGAAAATTAAAATACTAATTTTTTAATTTTCCATTGAAAAACCGCTAGAGCTCTAGGGTTTCATTTCTGTTTCAGGGAAAGATTTTAGAATCCCAATTTTCAAAGTGAATTTCTTCCCGCCTACAACACACGCAGAAAAATGGTTTATTTGAATGAAATAAACTTTATTTGACTCAAATAAAGCATCAATTCAAATAAACCATTTTTATGGATGCAAGAGACATTTTTCTAAATGAAAAAATATGTAATGAAAACAATGTCCCCTGACAGTCTATCCTAAAAGCATTCATTACTGAAATCCATGATTTCACGGTAAATAAGGTGTGGAAAATCAATATGTTACGTGTTCTACCACTTTACTACTGACGTTCGAATTTGTCGAAGCAGTCAGCCCTCCACTTCCCCCTTCATAGAAACGATTTATTGCTTCGCCTTTGAATATTCATACCTATTTTTCTTTACATATTATTGTATATTTTACCTCGAAAACTGACTTGTTTGAAAATAGTTATACAACCATGCACGAAAAAATTTAATAGAAAAACCTATCGAATTCGTTAGAAAATTCTATTGAATTTCTATAAAACTTTCTATTAGTTTTTGGCTGATTCTATTGACGTTTTCAATAGAAAACATTCAATAAAAATTCAATAGAATTTTCTAACGAATTTGAGAGGTTTTGCTATTAAATTTTTTCGTCCGTGACGTATAACCATTTTTAAAGAACATCGTGCACATCCTTGGCATTACTGAAAAACTGGATTCGTTAGACTATTGTACTGAATTTTTATTCCTTTTTAAAGATTGCAAAGATGGAATCCTATTTAATGAAATCTTATTCACTAAAGAGGGAAGAAACGTGAAGTTGTTTTATATCGAAATATCTCGAAACTGCCAGACCGCTGATCCTCAATTCTGATTGGTCAATGAGTCACATGAAGCAGTCGCTAAAAAAAAATCCTCGGTATTTTCAAATTCTTGAAATGCGAAAACAAATTTCTGTGTCATATTTTTCATTTTTTCATGTGTGAAGTTCATCTTTATATTAAAATATATCTAAATTGCCTAATTGTTGATCATGGGGAAAAAATAGTATTTCTAAATTTTTTCAACTCACAAATTATTCTTTACTTCCCAAATTTTAATTTTTTTATATTTATCATACGCAAAAATGATCAATTCTTGCTTCTCAGATTTTCATACATAAATTCTAAACTATACAAAATTCATGAAAATTCTTCGGTTTCCCAAATAATTCGAGAACAATCTTTGAAGACCTGCGGTTATAATTTTTTCCGTTTTCTAGGAAATCAATTCATAACCCTCCCCTCATTTTTCAACAATTACAGATTTTAATCAGATTATTTTAAAAAGTTAAAAAGAGTTAATCGTCGATTAAAAATTATTCATTGATGTTTCACTCTTCATTCTCTTAATTCTCTTTAAGTCATTATCAATATTTATAAAACATCTGTGAGTGAATGAAGTTTAATAAATTTGATTTCTTCATTTTCGCAACGCACAAATAAGCGCGCACAACGCTAGTGAAAAAAAACATTGAAGTTCTCGGAATTTCACTCGGGTGGGTATCGAAGCCCACGACCTTTCACTATCCGGGCGAGTGCTCTACGACTAAACTAATAATCTAATAATGACAATGTCTAATAATGGTTAATAAAACCTAAATTGAACTTTTATTAAAAATGCTATTGCTTTTTCGCCGATTCTATTGCCAAACTCCGCAGCTTTTCATCCGTTTTTTGAAGCAGAAAATAAAACAGAAAATATTTTATTGAAAACATCAATACATTTCGGGTTTTTTGAACAAATTAATCTATTGGAGCGTTTTCTGTAGAGGTTTTTCGGCATTAATTTTCCCAATTAAATTTAATTAAACGAGGATCACTCATTTGACCCTAAAAATCCCACTGAAATCCATTTAGTTGTTTTTACGTGAATCGTGAACTGAAAGAAGATAACAGATTTATCCTGTGCAAGATAATTGTTCCCTCAAATCGTTCTTATCTCAGATTTCAAATTTGATAAATCGGGGATTTATCGCGGCACGAATTTGTAGTTGGAAAATTTGTGCGTCACATGACCCTCACTTTTCAGTCATACGACTCGATCTAAAAATTACGGTCATTTCGCATCTCCCATTACGTTCCGCGGTTGAATCTCAAGGCAATCGCGGATTTCGCGGAGATCGAAATGACGATAGCAACCGATTCCGCGATTACCGCCAAAAGTTACAAAGTAATCACTGTTGAAGCCAGACTTTCATCCAAAAATTTGAATTATACTAATTAGACATGAATTTTGATAAAGTTTTCTGATGCAATTTAATTGGAAAATTCAACAAGCGAGAATAACCAAATCTATAGTGCAGCCCGTCGAAAGGATAAAGTCACTTTAAAAACTGATGAGTGTTTTAGACTGTTTTATTTTTAAGAAAATCATGGCAGTTTCTAGAAACTTCAAAAATTTTCTAGAATTTGAGAACGAGGACACTGAAGTAATTAACCCAGAAAATCCCATTGAAATCCATTCATTTGTTTTTACGTGAATTATGAACAGTAAAAAGATAACAGATTTATCACATGTAAGATAACTGTTCCCTCAAATCATTCGTATTTCAGGTGGATAAATAATTGATGAAGATTTCATATTTGATAAATCTAGGATTGATCGCGCCATGAATTTATAATTAGAAAAGTTATGTCACATGAACGTCATTTTTGAGCTATACAACTCGATCTAAAAAATGACAGTCATTTCACAGTTACGTTCCGCGGTTGAATGAAAGATCTCGATGCAATCGCGGAATTCGCGGAGATCCAAATGACAATAGCAATCGGTTCCGCGATTACCGCCAAAAGTTGCACACTAATCGCGGTTGAACCTACACTTTCATTTAAAATCCCAGGTTTACTGCCCTCAATACCATACAGAAGAGGATGAAATTTGAATGAAAACTCCGAAAAATTTGTCGATTATTATTTCCTACGTCGGGAATAATGGATGTGAGAGAAATTGTCGATGAGAAAATTGTCAACGAATAAATTGTCGTCAGGAATTTTGTCGCGGAAATTTTGTCCGCGAATCAAAAGTTACCGAACCATTCGTATCTCAGATGGACCAATATAATTGATGAAAATTTCAAATTCACTAAATCGTGGATTTATCGCAGCACAAATTTGTAGTTCGAAAATTTGTGCATTTCACATCTCTAATTTCGTTTCGCGGTTGAATGAAAGATCTCGATGCAATCGCGAAATTCGCGGAGATCGAAATGACAATAGCAATCGGTTCCGCGATTACCGCCAAAAGTTGCAAACAAATCGCGGTTGAAACCACACTTTTATTAAAAATCCCACGTTTACTGCCCTCAATACCTCACAGGAAAGGATGAAATTGGAATGAAACCTCCGGGAAATTTATCGATGATTGTTTTGTCCATCGGGAATAATGGATATGGGAGAAATTCCGTAAAGAAATTGTCAACGGATAAATTTTCGTCGGTCATTTTATCGCGAAAACTTTGTTCGCGAATCAAAAGTTACGGAACCATTCGTAGTATCTCAGATGAACAATAATTGATAAAGATTCCAAATTCGCTAAATCGCGGATTTATCGCGGCACGAATTTGTAGCTAGAAAACTTGTCATTTCACATCTAATTACGTTCCGCGGCTGAACGAAAGATCTCCATGCAATCGCGAAATTCGCGGCAATCGGAATGACAATGGCAACCGTTTCCGCGATTACCGCCAAAAGTTGCAAATTAATCGCGGTTCAACCTACACTTTCATTCAACATCCCAAGTTTACTGCCCTCAATACCTCACAAAAGAAGATGAAATTGGAGTGAAACCTCCGGAAAATCTACCGATGATTATTTTGTCCGTCAGAAATAATGGATGTGGGAGAAATTATCGGGAAAGTTGTCAACGGATAAATTGTCGTCGGTTATTTTATCGCGAAAACCTTGTTCGCGAATCAAAAGTTACGAAACCATTCGTATTTCAGATGGATCAATAATTGACGAAGATTTCAAATTCGCGACACGAATTTGTAGTTGGAAAATTTGTCATTTCATATCTAATTACGCTCCGCGGTTGAATGAAAGATCTCCATGCAATCGCGAAATTCGCGGAGATCGAAATGACAATAGCAACTCGTTCCGCGATTACCGCCAAAAGTTGCAAACTAATCGCGGTTGTACCCACACTTTCATTAAAAATCCCAAGTTTACTGCCCTCAATACCCCCCAGTAACCGAGAAAAGAAATAGAAAAAAGTAACGGCACAGGTCTTTCACTTGCTATTCCGATCCGGGTATCGTCGATTGTCACTGCTCGATGGCGGCGCGCCGAGGCGTTGGGAGCCCTCGCTCGGATTGTGTCACCAGTCTGCGCTCGGAATTAGTCGCCGATAGTTCGGCTCCAAGTGGTCCTTACGCATTAACTTCAACATCCCAAATTTCTCCATCACTCCGTTCACCTCTGCATAACAGTCCTCCCCATAAATGTTTAATAAAACCATCGAAAAAGTGAAAGCCAGTCCATGAGGACGAAACACCACAGGATTTCGTCGACAAAACGTTATAATATAATAAGGAAATAAATAAGGAATAATGAGTGCAACGATAAAGCCCGCGGAGAATGGCACTAACGATCAGCCTGATCAGTACATGCGAAAACGTTCGACGAAAACAAAGTGGCAGACCATAAGGGATGGTATCTACAACCCCTCCAAGGGTAAAGTCCTGGGGAAAACTGGGAAACAATGGGGTAAAGACAATTTGTATTATCAAAATTCTCTTTTCATGAATTTATATCATTATGTAACGAGCAGTTATCAGTTATCAGCTATTTTGCAGCGAAATTTCACGTGCATGACGTTTTCATTCACCGCGCGTTCACTGATAGAACGATTTATTTGATATTAACGAGGGTCTCGAGCTATTAACGAACTTTGGATTTGAATATGGCCTAATGAACAGTTCTTAATAACTAATAGATGATTTAGTTGACAGGGACACGTATGAAAAAATGGTTTCAGTTTACAACAGCGGCCGCAGATATTATAATTCCCTTTTATTTTATTTTCATATTTATTGTTTAAATTCATATACTACTGTTAGAAAATTGCTCTTGAAATTTTTAGTGAAAAAGCTTGACATTTTTTATAACGATAAAGGTACATTAAATTTCTTGAAGATTCAAGTAATTATAAAAATATTGAAAATTGAATTGTACGTGATATTCAATTTTTACAATGAGTTTGGAAATTCAAGCTTTCACTGAAAAACCAATGATTGTTTAACATGAAAAATCCAATTTTCCTGAATTTTCAAGATGAATGAGAAATTTTGTGAAAGCTTCCATTTGAAATTGAATTTAAACTCACAATATCGAAAATTCAGGTGACGCTGTGACTGAAATTTCAAGAAATTTCTGACAGTGTATCATCTTTGAATTTTCATATTATGGCTGCGTCCACGTCGCGAACGCTCGCTAAGGCTGCACATTGGTAGGGCCTTATATATATACGGCTTACTATTGTTTTGAATTTAGTTTGATACTTTAAGGGTCCCAAGTGAATTTGAAAAAAGATTCAAAAAAAATTTTTTCTTTCCCTCCATCATTGGAGAAATATGTATTCATCCACCCGACGAAATTTCAAACCCGCAACCGGAACTAGACATCGAGAAAATAAATGCGGAAAATCCTCTATTTCGCGTGACGAACCTCTAGAAAGCATGGGATCAAATGGGTACGGCGGGTTGAAATATCTCTCTTATTCACCCCGATACCCCATTGTTTTTTGTCGCCATCACATTGAACACATCATTCCCCATATCTTCAAATTTTTTCAAATTTTTCTTGAGTTCCTAGGGGGTTGAAACGTTCAATTTAATCAAAACTCCATAAGAGGCCGTGTATAAGACTGATTTTGTTTATTTAATTTCTCGATATCCATAAGTTCTAAAATTTTAAAATTGTCACCGATGTTCACCATCTGTCTAATACTATTAATTAAAAAAATTATAACTTTGTTGGTGAATGTCAATTTTCAAGGTCATCGCCAAATTCATTTGGCACCCTTAATGTAATGAAAACCAAATTTTGCTTTTTGGAGGGAGATGATTCAAAGAAGTTCAAATTCATTAGCAGTTACCCAGCCACAATTTTGAAAATAATTTATTAGTTGAGAATAATTTCAGAATAATTTATTAAAACTCCTATCAGTTTTTTATTTTTCTATACAATTAATTCTATTGAGATGTTTTGTATAGAATTTCCTCGGCGCAAATTTTCTAAATTTTTTTTGTTTGATTTTCTTGACGAAAAGAAAAGAAAAATAGAATGATTTGCTTGTCAACGAAGTTCTTGAGCTATTAACGAACTGTAGAGTTGAATATGGACTAATGACAAAGCTTAATAACTAATAAATAAGTGAGTTGACAGGACACATATGAAAAATGATTTCAGTATACAAAAGCGGCCGTAAATATTATAATTCCCTTTTATTTTATTTCCATATGTATTTTTTAAATTCATATACTATCTCTGAATTTTGAAAAAATTTAGAGATATAAGGAATGAAGTCCTAAATATGATAACACCGAAAAATAATGGGGTATCGGTGTGAATCAGAGAGATATCCCAATTTTTATGTAAATTTACGAAATATTCAATAAGAAAAATTCAGGTGATTTCAAATTCAAATTCAATCGATTTTTGAATATTCAATTAATAGAAAATTCAAGAAAAATTAGCACAAAATATTCAGATTTTGATCGAACGTGTCCAATCAGATTTTACATTTTATTTTTTCCGTGATAAATCAAAATCAATGTCGCTTTCTTGAAAATTACGACTTAATTCACTCGCTTACTTTCACCGAAGACGAGTGGAGGTAACTCGTCTACTTCGCCCAGACCTTCGATCACGTCCACTTCTCTCATTTTTCCAACCGCCTTTATATCTATTTTTACACATCTGCCCTCCTCCAGACGCAGAATAAGGTCGATGTTTTGAAGTCTGTGAGAAGAAAATTTCTGAAAGCGATTGATTCGATGTGAAACTGTAGTTTGCGTTATTGACGTAATACTGGAGATAATTCGAATGCCTCGAATATCGATAGATAACGGCAAATTTTTATCAATGAAAAATCTGCTCTACAATTGATAACAATTTTTGTCTGAGGGGAAATTATCTCGATAGATAGAGGGATAGGGGAATGAATGGAGTTCAACACTCATTTGGATATGAATTATTAAATACTGTAATTAAATCATATTCTATTATATTCGGAGAGTACTAGACATTACGGTGTTTCGTGTGTATTTCTCCGAGGGGTAAATCGGAAGGGAAGTCTCATTGTTCTCGAGCCCTGATTCAATCGCTGAACACGAAAATTTTCAATTTTCAAGTAAATATTTCAGTGTGCATCTGAACATTTCTTTATTATTAATTTTTTTTTAGATTTATTGATTTTTTCCCATCACTTACGGGTGTCAAATTATTTTTATCGGATGTTTTTCTAATTATTGAAATAATATTGAAATGCATGAGAGACGTGGCAATGCCGCACGGATCATTCCTATGGTTATTTCGAGTTGGTAAACCTGCGGAATGTTTTGTCTCTCTCAGTTTCATGGTCTAACCTATACCTCTCCCATGATGCTCCAGCGATTATATTGACATTCGAATTGCGCGCCACTCACGGTGAAGGCGGGGTTGCCACACGTGAGCCTCAATGGATGGAATTTTCCTCGAAACTCATAATTTCCCGTATCATTTTTTTCAAATAACTTTCTTATGAAATCGAGAAAAATTCTGGAACTTATACGTGCTTTCGGGCAAGATTTGATTGATCACCCTCTAATTTTTTGTTCAATAGCTCATTATTCTTTTGGGAGATACGGAAATTTCCCTGATTGAGAGTGAAGTAACCTCGGCCTTATAGCTGCAGGGGTTCCAAAAACATGGAAATTTCATTTTTTTTTGACACCGAGAGAAAAAATACGAAAAATTCTCAATGATTCAGCAGAGTCAGATGTTTCTCCCATAAATTTGTCCTTTTAAAATTTTATTTAGTTTTCACACGCAACACCTTAAGGGGATTTTTCAGATATTTTCACATTCTTTACAACGAAAAAGCTTTTAGAAAATCTTGCAAAGTTTTCTATTGAGGCTATTTCCAAAATAATAAACACGCATGTAGAAACTTCACGGAAAGATTTAGCGCATTCGCTAGAAAATCCTATTGCATTTTTATTGGAACATCTATTTTTTTTTGCTGATGATATTAAAAAATTCTGTAGTTTTTCTGTGCATTTTTTAGTGAATAATGTTCAATAGAAATAATTTTATTGAAAAATCCATAGAATTTGGTCTTTCTATACAACTTATTCTATTAAAATTTTTTTCAATAGAAATTCCTCAAGAAAAATTTTCAAAATTTTTTTCATTTCTTTTTTTCTCCGAAAAAAATCAAACAGAAAAACTTGGAAAATCTATACCGACGAATTTATACAGCAATATTTCAGTATAATACATTCTACAGAAAAATTAAACTGTACTCGTTTCTTCGATAAAATATTTTCTATTAAAATGCAGCAGATCGTCCCAGCGAATACGCTAGGGTTATCTATGAATTTTTCTCATACGCACACTGATGGAGAAATTAAGCTATTATCAACAAGGCTTGGTAACTATTAACAAATGCTCATCTGAAGAGAAGAAATAAACACAAGCTTCCAACGAAATTGATTCGTTGATGATAAATGAACTTGTCTATCAGAGTCCGTGATTATGTTTCCGCCTTATCTGGTTATTTTGCAGTAGCTAGAAACAATTCAGTAATTAAGTAGTCAAGGTTAACAAGTCAATTCAGCTCCTAGTTGAGTTTTCAAGGAATATCTCTGAATCTAAAAGATACAGTAAACTTGTGCAGCCTTCTTGAATTGTCCACATTTTTCGGTGCAGAAAGCTCCTCAGGAAAGATGTTCATTCAGAGAAATGTCTTCTGTGAATTGAATAAACTTTATCTCAATCAAATAGAGTCCGCTTGCCTTTGCTTTTTACATTTTCATTTTATTTACTAATTTATTCATTATTAAGGTATTGGGTAGGTGGAGAAAACCGCCAGCTCAAATATATTTGTAGGAAGTATTTTTGATGTAGGGTAAAGACTCATTAAAAACGCTCCCTATTTGGCAATTTAAATAATGGACATTCAATATGTGGATATTCTTTTTACAAATTATTGGACTGGAAGGGTAAAATTTATTATTGTTACGAAAAAAATGAGACGCAATTCGTACAAATAACGTATTCATGAGACGCAAATCATGGAGTCCTACCAGGAATCAGGCCAGACTAAACAAATAACGAGAGATAGTCTGAAACCTGCACCGGGATGTGGCAAACACATATTATATATACGCATTTATATTATTTTCTTTTATCTGAACACCAAGTGTATTATTAATATTCAGTCTACTACAATATACCAGCCCCATTAATTATTTTAAAAACAATGTGTATTTGAATTCCAATGATTGACTCCCACTTGCCTTAAACTATATTCTACATTATGCGTCAGGATAAAATTTCTCTAACGTAGAATAAAAATTGATCATCATTTATTAATTTTTACTAAATTTCGGGAGAGAAATGAGGAAACGATGACTCATGATACACGTTTATAGAACTGTAGGATAATTTTTATTAAAAATTTTTCTCCGTGTACCTCATCTCCTTTAATCACTTTACTGCAG